GACAGTTGACTTCTGACTTCAAACTACCATGACCCCCACTATATTCCATCTTCGACCCCTTCACAGTACTCAGCATACCTTTTCTCTACCTTTGTCTGTCTGTCTATCTCTCTTACAACTGTGAATCACTCTTCTGTTCCTTCTCTCGACTTTTTGCCACTTTGATGTTCCTCCTCCTATCTACGAAGCCCGAAGTCAGCTAAAGGGCTAATGATAACTATCAATGAAGTCAGCTAAAGGGCTAATGATAACTATCAAAACGCCGGCCATTTGAAATAAATAAATAAATATTGAAACTTCATTATGAACCATTTGAAATAAATAAATATATATATATATATTTTGAAATTCACTTGAAATAAAAAAAATCTTGCCGTCGGAGCAAAAGGAGAAAAACTAGCACATTTGCAGCTTAGTCAACTGGTAATTATCGAAAACATCTTCAGCCAAGACGTTAATCAAAAGGCTATTTATAAAACAACTCGCATTAATGATCAAACTACAGCCCATAAGAGATCGTTAACAAGACTGAAGAGCGCTAACACTGTCCAGCTCTTGAAAAATCTAAAGAAACGAAATTTTCTTATTCCAATAGAGTTCGTATTGTAATAGTCAACATTTTAAGATGTAAGCAAAATCCACTCCCCCTTTAAAATGCGAACAATAAGCGGATCAATGAATAGAAATAGTTGTAAAATGACAATCTGTCATTCAAATATCAATATCCAATGCACAAAAAAGACAGATTCACTTAGAAGAAATCCACTTTTGTAAAAATACATATAACAAGCAGAGCTTAGGCAGAGTGTATACAATGGAAGAGGGTGAAGGAAAGGTAGCCTCGTCCGTTAAACTGTTTAAACATTTGGCCGAAGTGGGAATAATAATAAAGGCCTGCTAATAAACGCCGTTCTCTCTTCAACAATCCAACAATCCCAGCTATTGCCAACTCATAAACAATAGCGGCCAAGTGATCAACGTGTGAATACACTCGCAGGCTTGAATCGGCACACGTATAGAGATAACTAAATTGCCAATTATAAATCACAAAATATAAAGTAATGTTATAGCCCATTTATTGAGGGGGGGGGGCGATTTTTCGTGTACAAGAACACTCGAAAACGGAAATCGTAAATAGTGACTCATTAAAGGTAAGTGAAAAGAAGAACACAACGACCATATGCGTGTCCAGTGGATTATGGAACACAATTAAATTTTTAAGCATAAATGGAGGAAGCAACATCAAATTTCGACCTCGAATTGAGAAAAGTCAGCACTAGACACGTTTTAAGCAAATTTCTCATCTAAGAAAAACAAAAGACCCATTATATAATTAGACATAACGACGTAATTCCAGATTCGTTAACATTCAACACTCAGAGAAGATGACCATATAGTAAGCGGAAGAAAATGCATCAGAAACAACTGGAATCGTGTGACTGGATACATTATCTCTCCGTTTGTAGATAGTGGTTCCAAGACCACAACTCAAGAAGGTAATTACCTTAGTCTCTAATTCTTTTAATTACCGCAAACATAAAGAGAAAATTTGAGAAGTTACCCGTCAGCTTCTTCATCGGCGCTTAAAAGCAATGAAATCAGTAGAAGTATATGATGTCATAGGGCTTAAGACGGCTTAGTAAGCAGTGTCGTGTTCGGTGAAGGATCTGTTAGCGTCATAGTCAATTTAAATTATTAGCATTAAAGCTGATGTGAACTTAAACAATAAGTTAGGGGGGAAAACAGGAGGTGGAGAGAAAATCTAACTACACCATGTCAAGCGTATTTTCCTCCCTCAAGAACCTCACTTCCATTGGGACGGAAGTTGCACGTTTCCACCAACACAACACGACACACTTAAGCAGCTGGTACTGCAATAGGCTGTAAGGGAGACAAATGAAGAGACCAACATGGATAGTCTATAATAATCTCATTAATAAACATGAGATGTGAGTTAGCTGACACTCACCTGGAGAATGCGAATAGATTGCAGAGCAAACTGTTGGGCTTTGGGTGAGTCACAGAGGAGGACAGCAATTAGGGCCTTATAGACCTGATCCCTGAAACGAGGGTTCCCTTCAGCCAGCTGTTCTAGTAAATCACGTGCAACAGCCTGAGTTTGTTCAGAACGTGAGGTCGCCAAGCATTGGGCTACAGATCGGATTCCTATGGGAGTGAGAAGGGTAAAATAGACGTATTAGGGTCATTTTACCTAGGATTGGAGCCTATACACAAGAACGGACAGGTCATGCAAACAAGTCCAATCATGAGATCCACCATTAGAGAAACACCGAAAAATAAATAAACTACCTATGCTACGCAGCAATGAGTTGAAGACAAAGAAATTGAAATTATCGAAACCTCTTCTATAAATTAACTATGGTGGCTTAGATTAACTCTCTCATTCATCCAAAACAATTCGTAGAAAGTGCTTTGGGTTTATAGGAAATTATCAACCGTGTAAATTACATTTGGTGGACAGGATGTTTGCGGAAGTTGCCTAATAGAAAGCAGAGAAGAATAATGTAAAAGTATCTTCTCTCGATTTGGTGTGATTAGAAAAGGGTTTGTATGTATTTCAAAGAACAATTCGACAGATCTTGAAATTGTAGCTAGTGCTAGCAAACGGCTATGGTCGTATATGCAATTAATCAAGTGAAATTGCAACTTTATTTAATAAATTTGGTTAACAAAACACATTGAGTGCGGGCGATAAATTCATTGTTAGAAGCACACGTCTGCAGGATTAATTCACCAAATTGGTCCCCACAAAACAAGGCAAAATCAATGGCGTTGCTAATCAAGTGTTTTTTTTAGCAAAGTGCCTTGGGTATAAGATTTCCATACCCAAATCCACACTTACCCCTATGGGATAGAGGAATATATTTCTTAGACTTGTTTTCTTCAGTTAAGAGAAACTCTGTGCAAATCCGCCCCCCCCCCCCCCCAGGAAGAAGTTAATTCCAAACACACATGCTGTCGATGATTCACCAAAAGTATTTAATCGCGATAACTGCCCTTCAATAAGAGTATGCAATAGATTCACCTCCACGTGGTGCATCCTGGGCAACGTATACTCCTATGGCAAAAAAGTCTATTGACTGACAATTGACTTCTGGCCTCAAACTACCATGACCCGACTGTATTTCATCTTCGACCCCTTCCACAGTACTCAACTTACATTTTCTCTACGTTTGTGTCTGTCTGTCTGCCTGTCTGTCTCTCTTACAACTGTGAATCACTCTTCTGTCCCTTCTCTCGACTTTTTGCCACTTTGATGTTCCTCCTCCTCTCCGTGAAGCCTGAAGTCAGCTAAAGGGCTAATGATAACTATCAAAATGCCTGCCATTTGAAATAAATGAATAAAAACTTCCCCTCAATAAAAAACATAAATATCCGAGACTAACAGGACCTGAAAATCTGTGTTAATAGAAGCTACGATACTCATTAAATTACAATTAATTAACAATTGCATTCAGGACGAATACCAGATGAAATGCAAGGAATTTACTTTTAAGGACACGGAGATTAAGTAAAGTAAGGTATGGCCAGTGTTTTTCACAGAAAACTAGTCCTGTCATGTCTAAAATTTTGTAGCAAGCGCAAAAGCGCTTAGTGGGTAATAATTTAGTCAAAGAAAAAAAACTTGAGTTAAAATGGATGAAAAGCACAATATTGTAACTTTTTTTAAAAATTAAGTTAGAAAAATACTGTGCTCATCAACGCTTGTATAGAGGATGATTTTTTTTAAAAAAAAACCTTTTCGATGAGGTATACTGAGACCCTTTCGGGCATGGATTATTTATTAGGAGTTATCCGATTCGGTGAAATCATACCAAGATCTAGACGCCATTGAAACAATTGGCGAGATCGAAAAGCACATGTTTGTCAAAATAAGTACTAATATAGAGCACGGCACATTAATTGCAAGCCTACCTGACCCAAGAAGGGAGACTAAAACTTAACTCTAGAGTTTCTCAGTGGTCTAATGGCAATTAAATATTGACAAATGGATGAAACAATTTCCAGAATTCGAACAAACTCTTTCTGATAACTCAGCGCTTAAATTAATCTCTTTATAGAAATGAATACCACAACAAATAGCATGAATTGAAAAATAATTCAATGATAAAATAGGTAGCACTAGTAACAAAATTGTGTACTCGTTTTTGGGCTTAACTTTGGTGGCACGAAATTGAGAGCGGGAAAGCCAAAAAGGGAAACATTTAATTATCACATTAAACAAAAGTTGTTATAAACAAAAGCCAAATCAAAACGCAATACATTTTGAACCTACTAGTTATTTATTTTGGCAAAATACAATAATATGCTTCTGCTTCAAACCCATTCACAAATAGGAGGGGGGGGGGGTATGGAAAGTGTATAATTGAAAATGTCTGCCAAAGGAAGTAGATATAAGAGAGGAAAATAACTTGCATTGTCGTTTAAGAGAGTTGATAAACTTTAGTTGAAAGAAGCGGCAAAAAAGGGAATAGTTCCCTTGGTAATGGTGCGTGTGTGTGTGTGTGTTACTAATATGCACAAAAGATAAACAAACACAAGGAAGTTATGTGTGCAGCTTATACGCCGTTTTCAGTTAAAAGCAAATGCAAGGTGTCTAACTGGTAGAAATAAGCACAAAAGTGTGCAAATAGGTTACTGATGTTAGTTATCGCTGAAGCAAAGGTATAAACTTAAAAAGAATCACGATAGATTACTTGTAGAAAAAAAATCGAGCTTTTAACTGTTGCGATCTACTTTCTGCTTGCTATGACCCCGGCACCCACCAAAATATTGCTAAGCAACAGCTAACACTGACATCGAGAAGGAAGAGGGAGACAGAGAGGTGAAGTCACATCAAGATAGTAAATTGAGTTCTATAAAGCCTATTTGCTGGGAAGAATGGCAACACTGCGTTTTTGAAACACGTTTGTTGACGTTGTCGGTATTGTTCCGACACCCAATTAACCGCGAAATTATTCGCCTTAATAGCCACATTTGGACTACAACGCCAATTTGCTTCCTGTCTTGTTCATGGAAACTAGAATACCTAGTAATTCCGAAGGGCTAATTTTTCCTAATAACCACATACTTAGAAGCAGATGAAATTTGCGTAAAACATTGGAAATAGAGCAATCTTTGCATTCCTTTCCAACAATCCTTAATAAGGCTTCAATTACTTCACTTGAAAATCTAAGCAATGATAAACAATCACGCAATCAGTTGTACGAAGCTTAATTTCCCGTTAAAACACAACTATCACTAACTCAAAAGGTAACATCGAACAAAAGAGATATGCAGAATCAAAATCCTGATATATATATATATATATATAAAGATCATTTTCCGCTATTTCGTCGATTAGTATTAGATTTCCCCGCCACGCTAGTAGACTCCAATCAACAGGAACAACAATTTAAAGCATTCCCCACGCTGCACGTGACTGGCTACTCTCATTAAGGAGCAAGCTACAAGCACTTCCTTAACAAATTTCTAAATGGTTGCTGGCAGTTAGACATGAAAAAAAATTCGACTTCCCTCCCCCCCCCCCCCCCCCCCCCCCCTCCCCGTCGCCAACTCAACGAAAGAAGGGGGAATTTAATGCTCCTCACAATAAACCCCCCAGAGCCAGCAAGATAGGCAACAGTTAAGAAGAAAAGGGCTTGGGAAATGGAAACGCGCTCAAGGAATGGGAAATAGCCCGTTTTATTTAGACGGAATGAATAGAAACATAAAAATTGGCTGCAACTTTTTGAACTTAAAGCATGATTTATTTTATTGCAGCATAAAATCATTGAAAAATCGTTCGGCATTCTATGATAATCAAGTGGATAGAGTTAATTCATTCCTTCTATAACCATAGTCAAATAATGAGGAAAAATTTGAAAAAAAGCGCAGTTATAAAAATAATAAGCGATTTTTTTTACATTAGTGCACATGCGCGCGCGGTCAAAATTCGACCAAACACTTTCCAATTCCCAAATTTAAATTCGCATAAAAATTGTGGAATGCAATGTTATACACCTCGAAATAGTTGCATTTTCCTAGCTTCGATACACATGTCCTAATTTTGTATACCTTCCCACTCTAATCTTAAATAAAGACAACTCAGAACGCCGTCATACATTATTCCCATTGGTTGACTGCCTACCTAACATGTTTTCAAGCAATGTCAGAATACCATCTTTCAAATTAAAGTAAGCAGTGTTTCTGTTAGACCATAGTTTAAATATTGTTGTGTCCTAAGGGGAATTGGCTTCACCACCACCTGCCGCTACTCTCAGTGACTTCTCTGTAGGTAGGAATGTGGCGATACATTAAACAAAACAAACGCATATGAATGGCGTCCGGGTGAACAAAAAACATCCAATTAGCTTATGAATGGTAGTAAAGGACTTTAGTCATCCAAACAGTCCGCTAATAGCCAAATACTACTGAAATATCAGATAGCCGTAGGAACATCAAATCAAATTTAACTACATATGGCATGGGCTTAATCGCCTCAGCACTATACCAATAACCCACATAAAGTCAACTCGAAAGATAATTCAAAATAGAAGTAGAGACAGACTAACCATAGCATTCGCATATCGTCTCCTTAAATCCAGTTCCACCACCGGCGACGCAGGAGAGAACACGAAGGGCCCAATACTTGTCAATTTCTTTGGCATTAGGAAGAACGCACAGTTCTTGCAGGCAGAGAAAGCCTCCATTCTCAAGAAATTCATGGAAATAATTTTGACTAAAAGGAAGCACAACACAGAGGGGTGAAATGGGGTAAATAATTACTTGAACAGGAGACAGTTAAGTGCTTAACGTCTTTAACATCAGAGGGGATGCAACACACCCCTACATAAACTACAGAAAAAAATTAGGACATTTGAAGGGAAATTGGCATGCACTAATTAATAAATAAATAGGGGGGGGGGGGGTTGATTGAATTCGTTAAATAAAAAGTCATTATTGGATTTCACTGCATTGATTAAGCATGGGTGAACACAGATTATGGAACCATGTTGTGTTACAAGTATTAAGCATCGCATAGGAAGAGGACATAACATTAACATTTGGAGGAAGATTGAATTAAAGAAGCAAGACCGATTTCATTTTTTTGCTAAACAAGCTGTCGGTCAGGAAGCTGTAAGCACCGAAGGAAAAAAATTATTCACCGCAATGCCAAGAAATGAATTCTGAAAGATGAAGCTCGCTACGTGACATACTTATTCAGAAAGCCCTCTACAACTCGAGTCCAAAAAATCGATCAACAATCAAAAGGTGGGGGGAAAAATGAGTCAACTAACTTTTAAGCATATATCTTATTCATCAACGTTTGAGATTTTAACCAACTTTCATCTCCATTTCAATACCATTTTCCTAAACTAGAACAATATTGACCAATAACACCGAACTTTCTAACCCGAAAATGCATACGTCACCCCACCTAATATATCATTATTTTCACTGTATAGAGGCTTCAATTGACCAAATAAAGCTAAGAACAGCTACACAGAGGGAGGCTGGCTCAAAAAGAAAAGACACGAGGACGTAAATCGATTAACATTTGAAGCGGTTTAAGGGGAGCGAGATTTAAGTCAAAATTAAATATCAGCAGCGAATACGAGGCAACTATCTACTCAGTTTTTTGTGGCGAATGTCGGCTTTATTTACGCTATCATCATGAAATGGTATTAAAAAATCCCCTACTGGCTAATTTTGGTCAACAATAAAAGTGAGAGTATGCAGGTTTCTCTGAAAAGGGGAAGTTTCAGGATACCTTCTCCTTACTAAAGACATGAAGTACTGCAAGTCGGTCTATTAGACTTTGGAACCATCTTCGTTAGAAGGCAATTCAAGACTGCAATAAAATAGTGCTGGTAACAAAGTGGCGCAATAAAACTAGGCGTACATTCGAACTCATAATGCGATTAAGTTGGAAGAAAACGACTGAGCTCTGGACCGAGTCATCATAAGGGGGATAAGTTGTTTGGCGCCTTAACAACCACTGATAGCTCATAGTCAGCTGCAGGCTGATAAGCGAAATAAAATTCACGCAAAGCAAGCATGCGCACAGAAACACACAGGTAACACCAGCAGGATTAGGCTATATAAGGTCTTAGAGCTTACCATTAACAGGGGAGAGAGGGAGAATCTGCAGGGAAAGCGAAAGGGTGCAAAAGTGAACAAGATAAATAGCGCCGAAGTGAATTAAAATAAAAGTAAAAGAAAAAAAACTAACCTGGTTGCAGTCGAGAGGAAGATGTAAAGGACCTTTAATTGTTCAGTCAGACATATTCCACTGGAGTACCTGGCAAAAAAACGAGTGGATAAGAAATTACGTCGACTAATTGCTCAGGATCCCCAACCATAAAAACGAAATCCAATGAAAATTTCAAAATACAGGCGAGCAAAATGAATGAGGGAGAAGGGTAAATGCCCGAAAAGACGAGAACTGACGCAATAACTAGAGAAGGACACAGCATAGATAGCAGAAATTGTAAAAGCAGAACGCGTAAGATGAAAAATTGCGAACTATGCATGTAAACTCCAATTACTTCCTTTCTTTTCCTAGGGAGTTTAAGGAGTCTCAATCACCACTAACACGTGATCCCATTAAGACAGTAGAAGTGGTGAAGAGAATTATGGGAAAGTGACGACAAGGGCTAGGGAGGGGGGGGGGAATATTACCAAAGGGAACTGGATTTCATCAGCGCAGTGGAATTATAACTCCCTTCTTTCACTTAACCCTGGATTTCTACAAGGGGAGCAACAACGAGCGAAGCGGAAACCAAATAAAAGCAGTATATGAAGGAAGAAAGTCATGTCATTAGATGTATAATTCAGGTTAGAATAACCAAGCGTTTCAAAGGTCTGGGTGAGTTCAAATCTGCAATATACAGATTTATGTTGACGTAATGGGATACGCGACAGACTTATCTCCGATTGTTGTACCCTAGGAAACGTATACGGCTATTAAGCGGTAGTTGACTTCTAACTTCAAACTACCATTGTGAGTCATATCCGACCACTTCCACAATACTCACCTTACCCTTTTCTCTGCCTTTGTACCTGTCTCTCTTACATCTGTGAATCACTCTACTGTTCACCCGTCCCCCCCCCCACTCCCTCCCTCCGTCGTCTTTTAGTGAATAAATGGCTAATGAGAACTATCACAAAATCGGCCATCAGATATAATAAAAATAATGTTGGCATGATTTACTTATATCTTCAAACAGCCATAGAATGCTAAATAGGCAAAAAAGTAACTAAAACGTAGTAGATGTCATTGGAGTGCACTCTCTTTAAACAATGCTCCTTTTGATCTAAAAAATCTATCAGCATAGATTTTGGAACAGAGGGAATTTTAAGCAAGACAAAATGATGAACAACTTCATGGCAAACTAAAGAGGGGAAGAATTTTCCCCAAAAAGATGACTTATACACTAACTTCCAAAACCGTAGCATTGAGAATTGCTTAAAATATTCAAACCACTACACAGGTGAATCCAGCTAGAAACAGTAGACTTGTGCTCCTTTCAAATTAGAATTATTGAGAGACTATCTTTGCTACTAGTATTCATATTCAACGACCACTTCAGAGGAATGTAGTTCGAAGTTCTAGATTTGACTTCCCTTTCCACCCGCACGTTGTAATTTTCAATCAGCCAGGGAATGATGGAAGGAGAACTCACAATTCGTGGCAATTTCATCCCTGTTCAGTCCTATTCCTATACGCCATTAAAACAATTCAAACTTATACACGATTCTTTATAACAAAAAAATTCGGCTTTCGTTTTACCTTTCTGACTCAATCACCCTGCGATAGATTGGAAAAAAAATGAACTGACGATTCGCAATTTATCAAAAATTTAGAGACATCTAGTCCCATTCTCAAACAATTACCAAATGGAATATTCAAGCTACTGCACAGAATAAATGTGTCTCGAAAATCTGGATTAAGATTCTTCAATTAGTAAATGAACAAAAGAGAAGCCAATCATTCGCGACTCATTTCATTCTAATCAATCCTCTTGCTATAGGGCTTCGGTGGAACAGAAAAAAACTATTGCATGAGAAGATGGAACTGAATTCCAAGAACGTTTACCAGTCAATCCTAGCTTTAAATTTCAAAACAATTAACGAGTCCTATATTTACCACCTTACTCAGGATTCTTAAAGGTTATTGCTGAACTGGGTAGATATCAAAAGGGACGTCTATGATGAAATACAGAAGAACTTAACCTTCCTATCGTTTGCTAAAATTCTCTGTGGAGAGAACAATTTACAGAGAATCAAATAATGAAAACGCAAATTAATCTATTAAGCATTCAAGCTACTTAGCAGGTGAGTGCTACTAGAACCCACAAATTTAATTTCTCTCTTCACTTTTGGATCAAAAAGTCAGACGATAGACAGCTCGATTCCTTATCTCGTTTCAGATTTAAGCAAAAAATTCGACGACCAATCAGCTAATGAAAAATTTAACAGATAATTATTGACAAATAATCTTGAAAACAGTAAATAAAAAGATTGAAACATATTTCAAAATTTTACATAATTTGAAATAGGTATTCATTGGAAGAATGTCCATTCATGCCACAAATAGAGGGCAAATTGAAAAGAATAAAGGAGTCAATAAAAAGGGCGCAACAGTATTTGCAAACACTTAAAACAAACCAGACATTTATAGAAGATATTATTCTAGAATGACTGTCTTCTACCAACTGAGCCGGCGTGCCATAAGTAAGGCACTAGAGGAAAAGCAATAAGAGGTAGTCAAGAGTTGGGGGGGGGGGGGGGGGG